ATCTTTTGGTCTTTGACAGAGACAATAGCCGCGTTGGACAGCGTAGGAGCCACCTCCCGAACAGGCAGGTCACCATCGAAGGCGAAGAAGGAGCAGCCAGGAAGACCCAGACCAAACTGGATGACCGCGGGAGGTTTCTGCCTATCCATGCAGTTAACCGTGAGGTGACCATCAGAGCGACAAATCAAGCAGAATGGTGGATTGGTGCATCGAGACTGAAAGTGGCCCGGTCTGTGGCAAGCGAAGCAAGTAAGCGCTGAGGGGTTGCTGTGGGAGGAGGAGGAGGGGTGGGATTGTTGCTGCGACGGGGGAGGAGGAAGGATCCCATCCCCAGGAACCGGACCAGGCGGCCGACGCGCCGGCCCCGCGAAGGATCGAGGCGGCGGACGAAAGCCAGGTCCGGCCCCAAAAGAGCGAGGAGGGGGGGGGCGGAGGTAGGGGCCGGGACGGGGCCGACGGGCCACGCCCAACACCCGGAGCCGGGAGGGAAGCCGAGGACGAAGACACCCCACCGCCAGAAGCCACCGCCGCCTCCCACGGATCCAACACCGGGGAAGGAGAGGGACCAGACCCAGAGCCCTGCAGGCCAGATCCAGTCACCCCCTCCTTCATCGGGTGCTGCTCCCGCTCCGGACCCGAAGCCCAGGCCTCGCGGGCACGAACCGCCTGCTCGCGTGCCGCATGCTCCCGACTCCAGCCTGGAGCGTAGCGAGGCCTCAAGCTCCAAATCCAACACGGAGGCGGGGGAGTCCTCGCGGCGCCGCTTGCTACCAGAAAGCGCCTCGCAAGAGGAACCCCTAGACTTGTCCATGGAGATCACCGCAGCAAAAGGAAGAAGGAGGGGTGGAGGTGGGGGGGATCTGATGATGCGACGGATGGGAAGACGATAGCGGCGCAAGTCGGCGGCAGAAGCAGGAAACCCTAGCAGGAGGGATACCGAGCCGCGAGGGATCCACATATAGCCCAAGCGAGCCGTGCCCCCCTGGGCCCGACTCGCCAAATGGGCCGGAGAGGGACGGGGAGCCGGTCACCGGGCGGGGGACCCAACTGGGCCAAGAGAAACAAGCGGGGGGAAATCGATAACCGAAGAGAGGGAGGGGGGAGGGGGAGGCCCACTAGCCAGCACCGCCCCAACAGGCCCAGCAGGCCCACACGGGGAGAAGGCCCGCGAACCGGCGGCCACTACACATGGATCTGGATCTAGGGTACACGTAGCGACCAGCAGCCCCACCGCCGCCGCCGCCGGCGATGGAGCCCCCGCCGCCAAAGACGGAAAGGGAGATGGAGAGCCTCCAAGCTCCCCATCAGGAGCACGACCCAAGACACCAGGCGCAGGGGACGCGAACGCAAGCTTACCAGATCTACGCCGACGTCGCGAGACCCGGAGCCAGCCGTCGGCCGACGGAGGCACCCCCAACTGCCGGCCCCGACCCCCGGGGGCAAACTTACGAGGGCGAGGGGCGGCGCAGGTGACCCCCACCTCCCCAGAGCAGGTCACCGCACCACCGGGGGAGGAAGGTAGAGACCGCGAATCCTCCTCATCCGACAGCAGCGCCCAAAAACGAGATCCAAGAACCGGCAGCGAAGAGAGGGAAGGGGAGAGATCCACCTGCGGGGAAACAGGAGAGGATAGGGGGAGGGGAGCTACGCATGAAGGTGAGGGCGACCGGACGCCGGCCACCGGGGAAGGGCGGGGAGCAGATCTGCCGAGGCGAGGAGGAGAAGGAGGGGAGGGGAGGGGAGGGAGAAAGGAAGGAGGAGCCATCGCGTCAATCTCCACTCACTCAGTAGCCTTATAGTAGATATTTGTGACTGAGTTGGCTTGCATCGCTAATGTTAATTGTGGCTTTCGCAGGTTCAGGAAGAGCTATTTTGTGCACATGAGTTGCTATTGGCAGTGGACAAATTATCTATGCAGAGAGCTTAGAGAAAAAAGTGAGTGGTTCAATTTTATGTGATGGGAATGTTCACAAGGCATCTTAAATTTTGGATAGAAATAAACCCATAAAGAATTTAGAATTGTGCTTGCTCACAGATTTCTTGCAGTGATTATTAGTAGATTTGTTCTGCAAAACAATTATATTATAGTTTAACTTGTCTATATATTGCTTCACATTTGTGTGTTTTAAGGTGAATTCAATACAGATCATGGTAGCTATAGCAGGTGGATGTTCATGAACAACATTGCTGCTAGCCACAAGCATCAAGTAATCGTATCAAGATTGCTTTGGTGTTGTGGTCCCATAAACATCAAATGTTTGTATGCTAATTGGTAACAGGCCGATTTAGACTGGATAATCTACTGGTTTTGGGACTGACTTGAACAAGTAAAAATTTATGGGTAATCAAGGTAAATGCTCACCCAAAGGGCAACAAATTGGTTGTCGTTTTTCTAGCAACCGGACAAAAGGTCCATTTTCAAACTTTCAAAAAAAGGTCCATTTTCAAAGCATTGTTTGAACTTTTCCTCTGAATTCATAGTAGTAAATTTTGTTCTCATTTGCTCTAGCTGTAGAATTACTTAAGGTGGATTAAGAGTTGTTCCTTTCTATTTTTATGAATTTATATCTGTTGGTTCATTGATTATCTATGAACTGAAATGATTCCCTCTTGTCGACTGTTGGATGGCGCACAGAATGTAACCTCCCAAGTAGACTATCTCTGGCAGAGGAAAACTTCCACCGAATCGACATGAAGCTCCATACCCATGTGGGTGCTCGGGCGGTGGCGATGACTGCGCCGGCGCCAACATGCCATCCCTTAGCCTGCTTTGCTTGATGCCAGCCTCGCCGCCTGCGTCGGAGAGGCAACTGTAGGTCAGGATGCTCCGGGAGATCACCACGCTTGGGCAAGATGAGCGTCACATCCTGGTCCAGCAAGGAGGATCATATGTGTACCAAGACCGGAGAAGAGCGCCGGCAAAGAATACGAGGCGAAGGAGGAGTTTGAAGCTCGAGTTGCGGCATGAGCAGAGTCCAAGAAGTGTAAACTTGCATCAAGTCACGAACAAAATCTCCACGTATTTTCTTCTGAATCTTGTGTTGTTTTGGTCATGATGGATCAGATATCAAAGGAAGGAGGTGACGATACAGGAGTGGGAGAACTGCCAGAAATCCAAATTCGAAGCCAAGATGAATGCAGAGCTCAGCATCCATGAACTTGTTGCACCGTCCAGATAAGACTGAAACAAATCTCAGCTGGTTGTAATTGTGCAAATTTTATTTCAGGTGCAGGCCGAGAAGGCGGGGGTGAAGAACAACTTCACCAAGAGGCTTCCCACATTGAGGCACAAGGTGGAGGGGAAGCAAGTGAGGGTCGAGGTGAGACGGGACCAGCAGGCAGTCTGGTTGGCGCGACAGGTGGAGCGCATCTGGAAGACCGGACACGTGCCGTCCCGGTTCCAGTGTTGCAACTGGTTCCTGTGCTGAAAACCAAACAAATTTCAGATTGCGTCTGAAATGCAATCTCACTGAAGAAGCTTGAATGTCTCGATGCAAGCCGTGGGACAAGATGCACATGCAATTATTTGAATCGGTGTGCTGCAGATGTTGGTTTGCTGTGTAGTCTGTACAATCTGAATGGCTATGACCTGAGCTACAGTAGCACGTTACCATTGATAACATGAGGTAATGCTAATGGTCTGGTGGCTAATGTAGTGAGATCTTGAAATCATCCTTTCTTTAAACTTAGTGGTAATGGTAGAAAAATAAAAAATATGGCATTTTATCTAGGAAAGATATATATCGGTTGCTCAGTTCCAGGATGGAATCTGGCTTGCTTGCTGCTTTGCCATAAGCCATTTTTGTTTGCGGCTGAATTTAGCTCATGATAGCTCAAAATGAAAGAAAAAAGACTAGCTAACTTGCTGCTTTGCCATAAGCCATTTTATATTGTCAAAAATATACTACTATCTTTTATCTTCACATTTATTGGCAATTATTTTTTGGCATTATTATTTTATCTCACTACTTTCCGGTTGCTTCCAAGCTTTTCTTGAAGAACAAATATTAAATTGTGAATTCATTTGAAACCCTGCCATCTTATAATGGAGAATCTATAAGAGAGTATTCAAGCATGTGTCTCTTCACACTTACATTGTAAGAGAGTCTTTGAAACTGTATATCTATTCTATCTGAGTGGAAATAGAGATGGATGTTGGTGATGTATTGAATCTCGATACATTGCAGGAGATCTCATCAAGATTTAATCTCGCAGAGTTTATCGAATGTATAGGAAGCGTTGCATGTATATGTGGATTGAAAATTTATACTTTAACGTATTCAAATTTTGAACTCTAATAAGACGTGCATTGCACGTGCATGCTTACTAGTATGAAAAACAATTCAACTAAGAGAATTCTTGCAAAAAAATACTAAGAGGAACCCCTGCGGAATAATACTTAGTAGAGAGCTACTTTTTTTTTGCGCAGAAGTAGAGAGCTACTTCTTCCGCTCCTCGAAATAAGTGAGTGTTGACATCAACTTGATCTTAAAATAAGTAAATAAATTTAACCACTAGTTTCTGTTGAGGTATATGTATGAAGACCAACGAATATAATAGTCTGAAACTGCTCTTGAGAGAAATCTTTACACGCCTATATGGTTTTCAAGTTTGCAATCTATCCCTCAACTGTCGTAGTGCCAAAAAATGTCTTATATTTTAATATAAAGGGGCTGAGGGAGTATATATTTAAAAACAATATATATGGTCAAAAATTGATTTACACATGAACAAAACATGACTATTTGTAGATGAAGGGAATATAAGAGAAGCAGAGGTTTTAACCAGCACAGCAGGGTGTCCACCGCTGCACTAGCGCATTTCCCCTGTTCGCCATCCGAAGAGGGAAGTGGAGAAGACTCCCTCAGTTAACCCCAATCAAAATACCACTAGTAGTGAATTAAGTTAACAACGTTCCAGCATGTGGCGCTCCGACACCGCGAAACTCCTCGGCAAGCAGCCAACTGTCATCCTCTCCCCGGCCGTGGGGCTATATAAGCATGGCCGTCGATCGCATCATCGTCAAGCTCGAGCTACACCTTCCCACTGCCCAACCGTCTCACTGTTGCGTCAATTGCCATCGCATGGCCGGGGCAAGCGCGCAGCCCGCGTGGGCGCAGGCGCTCGCGGCGGTGGGCCTCCTCGTCGCGTCGCGCGCCGCGGTGCGTCTAGCGCTGTGGCTCTACGCGGCCTTCCTCCGCCCTGCCAAGCCGCTGCGCCGCCGCTACGGCGCCTGGGCCGTCGTCACGGGCCCCACGGACGGCATCGGACGCGCGCTCGCCTTTGAGCTCGCGGCCGCGGGGCTCAGCCTCGTCCTCGTCGGCCGCAGCCCTGATAAGCTCGCCGCGGTCTCCAAAGAGGTCAGGGCCAGGCACCCCGGCGCTGGGGTGCGCACCTTCGTCCTCGACTTCGCCGCAGACGGGCTCGCTGCCAACGTGGCGGCCCTCGCTGAGTCCATCCGGGGCCTCGACGTCGGCGTGCTCGTCAATAACGCCGGCCACTGCTACCCGTACGCGCGTTACTTCCATGAGGTTGACGAGGCGCTCACGAGGAACCTGATACGCCTCAACGTCGAGGCTCTCACGCGGATGACGCACGCCGTGCTCCCTGGCATGGTGCAGCGCAAGCGGGGCGCCGTGGTGAACATCGGGTCCGGCGCCGCCACCATCCTGCCGTCCGACCCGCTCTACGCCGTCTACGCTGCCACCAAGGCGTGAGTACTCCTCTCGGTCCGTTAAAATGCTCCCCACGTCGTCCCAGGCTTTTTTTTTTTGGCTATCTTATAATTTTGGCATAAATCAGGGACCCACATTTTATTTTGAATCAGTAGCATATTTCATCTGATTTTTTAAATATGTTTTCAGTAGCTACAAATAGTGTCACATCGTTAAGCCGAGGTGTCGATGTTTACCTAATTTAAAATTTAAAATTTTCTTTACATTCTACTACAATGTTGGTGTGTATTATGCTATATTTTATTGCATTTAATTACTGTTCTCCCTCTCTTGGAGGCCACGTGACAGATACTGAAAAAGAATACACGACTTTTTTGTAACTAAAAAAATCTCACCATTTTTAGCTCCAAATTGTTGGATAATAATCATAATGTAAAAGCATACTAATATTTCCCCATTTTTCAATTCTGAATTTGTATTTTAAACTAAATTTAAGATAATAAACATATAAATTCTTTAAAGGTAAACCATTGTATGTGTAACTTGGAATATTATAGTAAGGATTTGTGTATTTGTACACCTTTGGATTGTTACAAACGTCCATTTTCTCTTTTCTTTGTGTATGTCACTGGTCTTCCTAGATTATTATATACAATAGACCGAGGGAGGGGGGCTCACAAGAAGTTACTTGCCCTCATCTCAGACGAAGTGATTTTGTTTCCTATTTTTCTAAACTTAAAAGTTTCTAAGAACCGGCAATAACGGTACTTTGGTCTATCAGATATGTCGATCAATTCTCACGAAGCCTATATGTTGAGTACAGGAACAAAGGTATCGACGTGCAATGCCAGGTACCAACTAATATCACTCTTATAGTCGATGCATTTCACTAACGGCTCAAAAGAAAATCTGCTTATTAACGTTTCTTTTTGTTTGATTTTTGAAATACATATTTTCATATCTGTTGGTCTCATGTAACCCTTTTGAATTCTCCAGCATGGAGTTGATAGTGGGCTGTTGTACTGAATTTCAGTTATCTCCATAAATATGGAAATGCATTTGCATGATTGTGATGTTTCTGTATATTTCATGGTAGCCGACACTTTGGAAAATATAAACAATAGTTTGACATTTTTATGATTTGACACTCCATTTGTTAAAGGTATGCCTTTCCCGCAAAAAAAGTACATTTTTGATGGGTCTCTCATTTAAAACATGATTTTTCTCATGCTTACATAAGTTAGTTCAATTAGTTGTGCACTTGTACTTCTACTGGACAGTGTGCAATAGCTACATAGCCACTGACGGGGATAGCAGTGACACGGGGTTTCAACAAGAAACCAAATTCATGCCATGTGAATATAGTGTGAGGACTTAACGAGTGTCACTTCAAAAATTAATGTCCTATAGCTTCTTCTTTTTGGCCCAAGGCATGTACTCCCTCCGTTTCAAAATAGATGACAGTTGGCATCGGTCTAAATTTAGTACAAAGTCGAGTCATTTATTTTGAAACGGAGGGAGTAAATCAGAAAAGCAGTTGGCATCGGTTCAATCGCAACTGATTGAATAATTTGTATGATGTGCGCAGGCACCCTGGTACGTTGCGACGAAAATGGCCTCGATCAGGCAGGCGTCCTTGTTTGCCCCGTCACCGGAGACGTATGCCCGTGCCGCCGTGCGCTACATTGGGTATGAGCCCCGGTGCACGCCTTACTGGGCGCACGCCCTCGTGTGGTTCCTCTTCACGGTCGTCCCTGAGCCCATCGCGGACAAGTATGTCCTTGGCGTGTCCCTCGGCATTCGTGACAAGGGACGCGCCAAAGAGGCCAGAAAGAAAGCCATGTGAGTGGCATGCGCGGTGAAAGAAAGGCTCATACGCTCTCAAAGATCGGCCCAGATGAAATTCTGTGTGTTAAATTCTACATGCCAACTGTAATAAGATGAATGATTGCGCAGCTATTTCGGTTGCCAGTCATCTTATATTGATGCTCTGACAGTGTGTATTGTGCTTGCACTTACCGCGTGTTTCTTGGATTTGGATGGCATATATACCATCTTGTTCCTTCTAGCTAATAAAAGGTCGTGCTCCTTCCGATCCGAATTAATTGAGGCATCTCTATACAATGTAAAGCGGAGGGAGAGACATATGTGGTAAGCAATACAAACTAATCCCCCCAAAAAATGTAAAGAGTAGGGAGTACAAAAAAAATCTGCAACAGCGTCGTAACCTAGGGGTGCAGCTATGTATCGCCTTGAGCGAGGCTGAGCAGCCACTCGCCTACAGCGAGTGTCCAGTTGGGCCGACCAATTAGCTTCCTGCAGATTAGTTTCATTTTCATTGTTTTTCTAAATTATTTTGCTTTGCTCATATTTTCAAGAAAAATCTGAATACTTATAACCAAAAATTATATCTAAACCATATAAAACACTTATATTTTCTTAATAAAATATTAAAATCACAATTTTGAAAAATGTTAACACAATGTAATTTTTCTGTTAGTGTAACGTAAAAAAATGTTGATACAATTCAAAAAAACTTGTTCATGACATTTAAATTCATGCATTTAAAAAATACTCCCTCCGTCCCATAATGTAAGATGTTTTTTTACACTAGTGTAGTGTCATAAAACGTCTTACATTATGGGACGGAGGAGTATGTTTTTGACATTTTTAAAAATGTTTCAACAATGTAAAATATAATAAATGTTCACATAATTTTAGAAAGTTTTGTATTGTTGAAAAAAAATGTTTCTACGTGTATTTGACAAATGTTTAACACATATTTACTTACTAGGAAAAATGTCCAAGCATTGCAACGGGAGAAAAAAAACATCACATCTCGAAGAATGACTCAAGAGCCTTCACTCAGGTACATGTCCTCTATTTTCACATAGAAATCCAACAATGTCTATCCTCCCTCACATCCTCCCCCCTCCCTTATGTGTGGTCTATAATTACAATATGTTAAGATCTAAAGACATATTTAAAATCTTATTATCCATAATATTCTCACGATAGGTAGAAGTAATAATTGATAGTAATATTAATGTTTTATTATGCACAGTATTCTCACGATATCCAGAAGTTAAAAACAAAAGAGCAAATATAAATATATGCTTAGAAATTCCGGAAAAAAATTTCCACTTAAATAACTTTACAAGCAACAAAAAACAAAGTAGTCAACATTATTCAAACTATTTTGGTTTAAAAACAATAAATATTTTAAGTTCGTAAATCCTAACTTTCTCAAAATACATATAGTAGCATGGTGAAAGGATCGATACAGTTGATTAGAGGGGGGGGGGGTGAATAGGCAACTAACATTTTTGAGTTTTTCTTTACCAAATTAAACTTTGCATCAAAGTAGGTTGTCTACATATGCAACTAGGTGAGCGACCTATATGATGCAACAACAACAAGCACACAAGCAAGTAAGGGATACAAGACTATATAAGCTTGCACAAGTAAAGGGGATAGATAACCAAGAGTGGAGCCGGTGGAGACGAGGGTATGTTACCGAAGTTCCTTCCCTTTGAGAGGAAGTACGTTTCCGTTGGAGTGGTGTGGAGGCACAATGCTCCCCAAGAAGCCACTAGGGCCATCGTATTCTCCTCACAACCTCACACAATGCGAGATGCCGTGATTCCACTATTGGTGCCCTTGAAGGCGGCGATCGAACCTTTACAAACAAGGTTGGGGCTATCTCCTCAACTTAATTGGAGGCTCCCAACACCACCATGAAGCTTCACCACAATGAAATATGGCTCCGCGGTGACCCCAACCATCTAGGGTGCTCAAACACCCAAGAGTAACAAGATCCGCAAGGGGGGAGAATCAAATTTCTCTTGGTGGAAGTGTAGATCAGGGCCTTCTCAACCAATCCCTAGAAAATCAACAAGTTTGATTGGCTAGGGAGAGAGATCGGGTGAAAATGGAGTTTTGAGCAACAATGGAGCTTGGGGAGGGAAGAGGTGGTCAACCTGGGGAAGAAGACCACCTTTATATAGTGAGGGAAAAGATCCAACCGTTACCCACTTCATTGATATGTCTCCAACGTATCTACTTTTCCAAACACTTTTGCCCTTGTTTTGGACTCTAACTTGCATGATTTGAATGGAACTAACCCGGACTGACGTTGTTTTCAGCAGAATTGCCATGGTGTTATTTTTGTGCAGAAATAAAAGTTCTTGGAATGACCTGAAACTTCACGGTGTCACATTTTGGAATTAATAAAAAATATTGGCGAAAGAATCAATAGAAGGGGGCCCACACCCTGTCCACGAGGGTGCAGGACGCGCCCCCCTGCCTCGTGTGTCCCCTGGACCTCCACCGACCTCAACTCCAACTCTATAGATTCACGTCCGGGAAGAAAAAAATCAGAGAGAAGGATTCATCGCGTTTTACGATATGGAGCTACCGCCAAGCCCCGTTCTTCCTCGGGATGGCAGATCTGGAGTCTGTTCGGGGCTCCGGAGAGGGGAATCCATCGCCATCGTCATCATCAACCATCCTCCATCACCAATTTCATGATGCTCACCGCCGTGCGTGAGTAATCCCATCGTAGGCTTGCTGGACGGTGATGAGTTGGATGAGATTTACCATGTAATCGAGTTAGTTTTGGGGTTTGATCCCTAGTATCCATTATGTTCTAAGATTGATGTTGCTATGACTTTGCCATGCTTAATGCTTGTCACTAGGACCCGAGTGCCATGATTTTAGATCTGAACCTATTATGTTTTCATGAATATATATGAGTTCTTGATCCTATATTGCAAGTTATAGTCACCTACTACGTGTTATGATCCGGCAAACCCCGAAGTGACAATAGTCGGGACACTTCCCGGTGATGACCGTAGTTTGAGGAGTTCGTGTATTCACCAAGTGCTAATGCTTTGGTCCGGTACTCTATTAAAAGGAGGCCTTAATATCCCTTAGTTTCCATTAGGAACCCGCTGCCACGGGAGGGTAGGACAAAAGATGTCATGCAAGTTCTTTTCCATAAGCATGTATGACTATATTCGAAATACATGCCTACATTACATTGATGAACTGGAGCTAGTTCTGTGTCACCCTATGTTATAACTGTTGCGTGATGAATTACATCCAGCATAATTATCCATCATTGATCCATTGCCTACGATCCTTTCACATATTGATCTTTGCTAAGTTAATTTTCCGTTACCACTGTTACGATTATTACAAAACTGCTACTGTTACTCTTGCCACCATTACCGTTGCTCCCATACTACTTTTCTACTAAATACTTTGCTATAGATATTAAGTCTTTCAGGTGTGGTTGAATTGACAACTCAGCTGCGAATACTTGAGAATAATTTTTGGCTCCCCTTGTGTCGAATCAATAAATTTGGGTTGAATACTCTACCCTCAAAAACCGTTGCGATCCCCTATACTTGTGGGTTACCAAGACCTTTTTCTGGTGCCGTTGCCGGGGAGCATAGCTCTATTCTCTGGGTCACTTGGGATTTATATATGTTGATCACTATGAGGAATTTGAAAGATCAAAGAACCAAGATTTTTCCCTCAACTACGAGGGGAGGTAAGGAACTGCCATCTAGCTCCGCACTTTATTCACCTTCTGTTTTGAGTAAACTTGCGACACCTACACCTGCTATTGATTCGAATATGTCTCATGTTATTGATGATGCCACTTCTACTATGCATGATGCTTATGATGGTACTACTTCTCTGCTTGATAATAATGTGCCATTAGGTGAATTTCTGGATGAACAACTTGCTAGGGTTAGAGAGAATGAAATTATTGAAACTGATGATATTAATGAAAGTGATGATGAAGATTATCACCTTAGATATGAATTGCCTGTTGTACCTGAGGGTTATGTTATGGATGAAGAAACAGCTAGAGACTTTCTTGCTTGCAATGATAGATATGATCTTAAGAAATTGTTAGCTAAGCTGAAAGAAAAGTCTTTGAATGCTAGAATGAAATATGACCCTGCTTTTGCTACATCACCTATCTGTGTTACTGATAAGGATTATGAATTCTCTATCGATCCTGAGTTAATTACTTTGGTTGAATCTGATCCTTTCTATGGCTATGAATCTGAAACTGTTGTGGCACATCTTACTAAATTGAACGATATAGCTACCCTATTCACTCACGAGGAAAAAAATTGCTATTACTATATTCTTAACTTGTTTCCTTTCTCATTAAAGGGTAATGCTAAAATATGGTTTAATTCTCTTGCTCCTAGTTGTGTGTGTAGTCCCGAGGATATGATTTAATAATTCTCTGCAAAATATTTTCATGCTCATAAGAAACAAGCTGCCTTAAGGGAAGTATTTAATTTTGTGCAAATTGAAGAAGAGAGTCTCCCACAAGCTTGGGGGACGCTTCTCCGATTACTTAATGCTTTGCCTAATCATCCTCTCAAGAAAAAATGAAATACTTGATATATTTTATAATGGACTAACTGATGCTTCCAGAGACCACCTGGATAGTTGTGTTGGTTGTGTTTTCAGGGAAAGAACTGTTGAGCAGGCTGAATTGCTATTGAATAATATATTGAGCAATGATAATGACTGCGCACTTCCTAAACCAACTCCTAAGCCAACTCTGAAGAAAAGGGGTATTCTATTTCTCAGTCCTGAAGATATGCAAGAGGCAAAGAAATCTATAAAAGAAAAAGGTATTAAAGCTGAAGATGTTAAGAATTTATCACCTATTGAAGGGATACATGGTCTTGATAACCTGACACAGGTAGTAAAGGTAAATTCTCTCTATAGATTTGATAAGGGTGAAATCCCATCTACTAAGTTTGCTAGTCAATGCTTGGATGAGTTTGATAATTTCATTGTTAAACAAGA